GATGAAAAATGGATAAAATTTAATAAGCATCTTTGATATATCTAATTATTATATATCTTACCAACTAGAATAAAGGTTATTTGAAAATAAAGCTCCTTTATAATTTAATAAAAAATTATTTGAATAAATAAAAATTAAAATTGAAAAAATTAAAAATAAAGGGCTTTTAGATAAGCGAGGAGAAGCCATGTATGCATTATTAGTTAAAGTGCTTATTTATTCCATCTCCTTTTTAAAATGTTGGGAGAAAATATTAAGTGATCTTATAAAGGTAACAAATATTTATGCAATAAATTTTAAATTTTAATGATAATTATTGAAAATATTATAATAATGCATACATGCAGCCAGATGATTGTTTATTTAGTAACTTTCTTTGGATATAACTACATTTGAAAAAAATATTAACGAAAGATCCATTATTTCATCCAGATGTAGTTAGGTATAGAGCTATTACCAGTTGTAACTATATCTGAAGGAAATTATTCCAGATGTTATTGGACTTTAGGAAAATTCTTAGATGTAGTTACATCTTCCTAAAAATGTTGCTAGGGGGCATTGAATTTCCAGATAATATTGGACAAATATTGTTGGAGTTAAAGAAAAATATAAATGATCTAGGACTACACAACAGATGTAGCTTTCGCAATTTTTTTTTGTTTTTGCATCTATTACTTTTACTTCTTTAAAAAAAATATATATATATTTTATATGTATCTTTGAAAACAAAACAAACCATGCAACATTTTGCTGTAGATCCAGTTATCCTGCATTACTCTACATGATGTAATAATTTATTATTTCATGTTCAAGTGTAGATATACTTCATGACATTGTTTACATAACTGGATTGTAAAAACGTTTTAAACTTGCAAATTTTTTTTTTATCCTTTTTGTACCTAATATTTAATATTATTAATTTTTTGTACTTAATATGTTTATACATAAAAAAGCCATTATTTCATAACGTTATAAATCGAATATAAAAAGAACAGAACTGCCTAGTCTAACTTAAAGACCCCGTCAACTATATATATATAAAACAAAATGCAAAATATATTAACTTCTTAAGAAATACCTTTACCATCATTGATAATTTTTTTTTGGCTGCATACTTGTATATAATTAACATGATTGCATAGAGCTTGGAAAAACCTAATTCAGCTTTAAAAACACAATCAAAATATTTATTAAAGATGTTTTATACAACTATGTTAGCTTGTTGTTGCTTTCGACTTTAATTTAGTTTATTTTAAGAAAATTTTATTAACTTAATTAAAAACTTGATAATTAAATTTTATTAATATAGTTCAATTTAATTATGCAAATAAAATACTTTATCCTAATTATAAAACCTAGTAAAAGATTACTACATTTGTCCAACAACATCTGTAGAGTAGTCTAAGATCATTTGTATACTTTTGTTCAAGATCATCTGTATTTTTTTTATTCCATCAACATTTGTTCAGTATTATCTGGAAATTAAATGATCCCTAACAACATCTTTAGGAAGATGTAACTATATCTGCTAATTTTCTCCCAGCCTGTAATCCATCTGGTAATTTTTCTCCAACAATGTCTGGAAGAATTTTCTCCAGATGTAACTACATCGAAAAAAAAACCATATATGAAATTACATCTGTCTAAAAGAATGCATTTATGCTTAATATTTTTTTCCAGATGTAACTACATCTTAAAAAAACCATATGAAACTACATCTGGTTAATATAACGCATTATATTATTTTTTTCCAAATGTAACTACATCTGAAAAAAAGACATATATAAAACTACATCTGGGTAATATAATGGATTTTAATTTAATAACTCCATAAAATCCTGTAGTTATATTTAATATAATTGAAAAGATGTAACCGGAGAATTCACAGACGGTTAGCTATATTTTGAATGATACAAAAGTAGGTTCGCAATATTGAAGAAAACATAGACCTAGAGTGTTTTCACAAGATATTGTGCATTTAAAGTTTTTATTAAAATGTAGAACCTACCTTTAAATCATCCTATTTAAACATTGCTATTTATAAATTCAAATTCTTGAGCAATTTTTGATAATGAAATGAATGAAGACAATTATTCCATCAATTTGCATTTCCATTTTATCTTTAATAATTATGGCAAATATCTCAGTAAAGTTTTATTGTTTCTAACATTGTTTTAAAGTTGTTTGTCAAGGTTCACAAGTTAAGCAAAGCACTACCAGGAGCGTGGTGGATTGATCTCAGAACTTCTCACTTATGAGGCAAGCTATCGCTATTTATCACTTTGATAACTAAAATGCACTCTACAAAATGATAATTAGTAGCAATTTTATTATGAAAAGAGATTCAATTGACCATTTGATCAACTGATGTTAAGGTAGCAAATACTTTAAAGAAAAAACACTCACTATTCTCAACAAAAGCATGACTTGCTTTGATACATTATTCATTAGATATTTTTTAGGAATTTGTTTTGAACACATCTTTACAATAATAATTTCTAATCACATGAACTGACTTTTATTAATGAGTTAAGTAGACAACATTTTAATCAATATAACATATTTTGTATTAGTTATGTATATATATACTATCTATGAAAGATTTTAATTCTATACAGATATAATCAATATAGAATAAAATTTATAATTAATATGCATACATCCTATCTAATATCATTATTATAGAATATAAAAGTATAAATAGAACAAAAATGTATAAATGATAAACATTAATTTCTTCTTATATCAATATTATGAATATGATTATAGATATATTATAATGACATCGCAAATATAAGATAGAAATCTATAACTTTTTATATATCTTAATGTAAATGTAAACATGGACTTCTATAACCTTCTATTTATTTTGAATGAAGGTAAATATAAGATTTTGTTATAAAAGAATTTTTATAATCTTTTTTCATCATATAAGAATTATTATAATTAATAGAAAAACTCACCATTGTAATGTATTATTTTTCAAATTTAATAAACAAGTTCTGATAAATTTTAAGTTCACTAAACTAATTGCTATTAGAAGAACGCGCGTTGTTTTTAAAAACAAGGTTTAGAATTTAAACCTACTAAAACAACGCATGCGTTAAAAATTTCCTCAAGTCTTAGAGTCCGGCTAACGAGATGTTTTAAAATCGGACTCTGCGAAACTCAAAATTTTTAACCAATCAAAACAGGGATCGATCTCAGGAAATAGCCGTTCGTTAATCTACTACATGCCCCGCTTTCTCCTATTTTTGTTATTTTACTTTCATTTAACCAAAACTTTTTCTTGTTTCTTAACGACAGTAACACCTTTTATTTTTTAACAAGAGTTAGGCGTTGCTGCGCGAGGCCTTACTCTCGTTAACAATCAGTTAAAGTTTTGATTGCTCGTGTTTAGGAATGTAAGTAAAATCAAATAGTATTTGCGTGGTCATATTATAACGTGAAATCGCACACCTTCCTGGCTAAGCCTGCTTCTAGCACCAGTTTTAATAGTGGGAACCTGTAATAACTCCTTATAATTGACAAGAATGATAAATTATTGCTGTTGTGTTTTGTTTAGGAATAAATTTTTACACAAAATGCAACAATATTTTTTTTCTACATGTTGATATAAACCTATTTTCAAGATATTCAATGCTAATAATCAATAATAATAATTGCAATAATCATAATTACTACTTATATTTAGCATTGAAGTACGTGTTTCTCAGTGCAGTAAATTTCCCAGCTTTAATACAACAACTTCTGTAATATAAGTCACAATACTTAAGAACATATAGGTCCATGACTAGCATCAGGAACTAAGAAATAATTGCGGTTAGTAGCAGTGTTTTCTGGAATTTTAAGAATCCTATTTTTGCTAGTAAAGATTATTTAGGACATAATCAAACAGAATATTAAATGTTTTCATTCCTTATGAAAAAAGAAGAAGTCAAAATGTGTACAATTTGCAAAAGCAAACAATTTCCAAAAATAACATCTTGAACATCACTATTTATTATCTATTTCTAAAAGCTCCAATAAACTGTCTTGCTGATGCATTATTATTGCAACTTAATAAACTTCTTATTTTGCCTTGACGGCTGAAAGAAACATCATTTCACGAAGAAACATCATTAAACTTTTACCGCATAAGTTCTTTAAAGTCAAAATATCAAATAGGCCGTCAAATTTGTTAATTTTTTTTTATATATTCCTATTTTACAAATTGGCAATTTTACAGTTATTTATTAACTCTGAATCAGTACTGATTCATAATAGATGAAAGTTGTAAATTCCGCTGTTTATTAGCTTTATAATTGCTACTGCCTCCCAAATAAGTATCCCATTTCATTATTTTTAACTATAAGTAAGAATTACTCATTTTTGAGTTTAAATTTAAAGTATTTTTTGCAATCTGCAGTAACATATTGGCTGAATTAAATACAGATGTTTCAAATAAGACATCAACTTTGCAGAATTTACAACTTTTATCAATCATGAACCAGTACTGATTCAGAGTTAATAAATAACTGTAAAATTGCCAATTTATAAAATAGGAATATATAAAAAAAATTCACAAATTTGATGGCCTATTTGATATTTTGACTTTAAGGAACTTTTTTTTAAAATCTCTATAACAATGATTAGGCAGGATGGTATTTTTAATTTACAGAATACCATCCTATTACTTTATATATATATATATATATATATATATATCTATGTGTGTGTATTTATATCTAATGAAAAAAAACATCTAAATTTTATCTTCTACTGTCATTTCTTCTTCTGTTATTCTTGAAAACCCTTTAAAGCGTTACCCACTTAACAACCTTAGAAAGTTTGTGTGATTTTAAATTTTTGAAAAAAAAATTAGTTAAAGAATAATAAAGATAAAAGAAATTTTTTATACTGAAACAATTTTTTTTTTCTTGCATAAATGCAAACTGCTGACAACCAAACTTATCAGTCAATGTATATGTGTAAATAACTTGATAAAGAGTTGATAATTTTTTATTTAGATTTTAGTTCAATTTTAGTTGCTCTTAAAGTTGCCAAGCATTACATAAGAATGGATTTAGAAGAGAACCAATCACAAATGTTTTCGAGTATTTATAAATATTTTGAAGAAGAAAAGAAAGTTATAGAGGTGCGAACATATATAAGTGATTAGATAAAGAAAAAAAAAATTAATTTATCTTTCAATATTTATCGAAAATTCAAATTTATATTTTTATTTATTTATCATTAGCATTTGTTATAAAACTATGATATTTATTTAAGAAAAAAGTTTGTTGCTTTTAAATTTTTAAATAGGACAAGTTAATTCAAATAAGATAAATTCAAATAAGATATATATATATATATATATATATATATATATATATATATATATATATATATATATATATCTTATTTGAATTTAAGAATTCAAGAAACATTTTTTTTTTTTTGAAAATTTTTAAATTTTAATAGATTAAAATAGAGTTATTTTAATCTAATAAAGTTTAAAAGTTTTCAATATTATCAAAGATATTTCTTTCAAAGATATTTCTAGATTTTTGCAATATCTCTTAATTAAAACACACTAATAATAACAGTACTTACAGTGTGTAAGGACATGTAATATTTTATCAAAAGATTCACATCTATGAGCCCTTAAAAAAACGTTTATTTTGCACATAGGAGGTGTTACCTGGTAAAGGACGATATATACATCTATCTATCTACATATATATATACCTATATAGACATATATATATATATATATATATATATATATATATATATATATATATATATATATATATATATATATATATATATATATATATATATATATATATATATCTTTATAAATGTATGTGTATATATATATATATATATATGTATATATATATATATATATATATATATATATATATATATATATATATATATATATATATATAAACATTCTGGAAAAAAAATCTAAACTTTTGTTGCATTTGTAAGATGAATAATGCAGATAAATAAGATAAAGAAGAGAGATAACTTATTGTTCTTTAGGGTAATAATCCTATAAACATAGTTTATATTACTGCCATGAATAATACAGATGAAACATAGCAATCCAATGGTTGATGTTCATAATAAATTACGTTTTTTGAAAAGTAAAGCAGATGTATTAAGTTTTGATGACAATGTTCTTTCATGTGACTTATAAAAAAGCTGAAATATTCTACGATGCAAAAGGCATAATTAGTCAATTGCTTCCTGATTTATGAAACGTAGTGAAAGTGATAAATACAAAAAACTGTAGATGATCTGTTAAAAGTGCTTCTAGACACAACAAATAAATTACCAAATTTTTATGCTGTTGATTGAAATCCTCTGCTTTCTGTTGGTGCAGAGCACATTGATATTATTGTTTTGCTTCAGGAGGTTCCTATCTTCAATCAGAAGCAAAGCGAAATGAGACATGTTTTAAATGCTATGATCAATATAAAGACTTTCAACATCAACATTCAGTATGACTCTAGCAATCATATCATTATTTTAGAGTTTTAAATATGGAATGCCTTCTTTTACAAGGTATAAACCTGTTAATATTTCAAATATTGTTAATAGTTATGCATAAATTTTTTAGTAAACTACTATCTCAGATTTTTTTCATACTTTGTAAAAATGCTCACCTACATTGTTTAGACCTTGCCAAATTTCAGCACTGATATCTAGTAGGTTTTGAAAATATCGTTACTTTAAAATCAGCTATATCAAATATTTGTTCTTTGTTACATATGATCTACATACAGAGTGATTAGAGTGTTAGCTTGTTCTCTCCCTGCCCTCCGAGCATTTACTTCGTTCTTTACCTTCACAAAAGTCTTATCACTCATTTTATATTTTCATATTATTTTTATTTTTTATTCAATGACACCATCTTCTAACTATTTTTATTATCACATCTCTCAGGTCTACGAAACGGCTCCGTTGGTCACTTTTTGCGATCATTGTGTCGCATAAACTAAAATCAGCTATTTTTGACAGTTTTTTGTTTTGGTGGCTATTTTGATTTTACTATAGTCTTTGTTTAATGAAGTACCTTAATTCAAATACATAAGTTTTTGCTTCCTTTTAAATGATATATTTAAACAAAAGACGCAATTAATACTAAAACGAGAAAACTTAGTTTTTTTTATTTTTTACTAGTCGTTGTTCTTTCTCTGTTGTAAATCACTTATTTATAAAACCAAGTTTCTGAAGTAAAACAAATTATTTGATAATTTTTCTTTATTTGAAATACTGTACATGTCTGTGTATTTTGTGTTTATTTATAGTTTAATAAAAAATGACAAAATAAAAAGAACAAAATTTCGTGTACAGTTGGAATTTTATCAAATGATCAATGTCGTAAAATGTTGTTGTTCACTAAATCAACTGGATTGAATGATATATCAGGCTAATCACAGAGATCACTGATGATCAGGCTAATCACAGAGAGATCACTGATGATCAGGCTAATCACAGAGATAATTGATGATCAGGCTAATCACAGAGATCACTGATGATGAGGCTAATCACAGAGATCACTGATGATCAGGCTAATCACAGAGAGATACAAATTAAATATTATGATGATCAGAGCTATCAATACTAAATGTTAATGTTAAATTTTTAAAAAAATTTTTTAATGCAACTCTCATTTAACCAATTTGCGAACTTCCAAAAAAATTGTGTAGACCCATTTAAAAGGCATAAAATTAATGTAAAAAGTGCAGTCTCTATTTACAAAAAATACATCCAGTAGACTTTTAATTAATTTTAATTGTAAAAAATTTTTTTACTAATCTTTTCGATTTCCAAAAATATTTTCTAAATTTTGCAAATTATTTTTATTCATAATATATTTATAGGCAGTTTCTGAGAAATTGATATTAAACTACCAAAAGATATGTGTTACAAATGTATGGAAACAACACATGGTTTAAAAATCTATTCTTTATGCCAAAAAGTAGTAGTAAAAAAAAAAAGTTGATTGGAATACCTTACAGGACCCTAATAGCGAAGTTGATTTTCAGGAACAAAAGTCAATCAAAATTTATTTTTTTAATGAAGATTTAAAATATGCACTAGAAAAATAACCTATAAACACCAGTTTTAATAAATTGGATATTTTACCAGTAAAATATTATACAACTGACTTGTAAGATAATGTTCTGTAAGGAAGGGGTGTCACGTACCCCCACCAACCCCATAGAATTGCTTCTAACTAAAGAGTTTAATGTTTAGAAAACCTGAAAACAGTAAAGAGAATGACATTTATTTTAATTTGAAATTTTTGAATCTATATTTCTTAATTTGCTTGCAGGAAAGCAGCTGAAATAGTTAATACATTTAAGTCAGCCATAACTAATGCTAGAAAACTAAAATTTAAATAGGGAATATTATTACTTTCAGAAAAAGCTAACATTGTTAGAACTAATTCAGATATCATTAATAATGTGAATACCTTTTATTGTAATGATCAGTTCAGTCAGTAGTTGCCAGGTATATAAGATTTTGTAAGCGTTTATATATGTTGAGTGTTTTGTATGTTTATCCAAAAATAAACATGTATCAAAGCAATTATTACTTTGCTATTTAAAGGAATTACTTGTTAAATATAAACTAGAACACGGTGGTAACAATAATTTTCATTTACTCGATGAGATTATCCATTTGCTAGTCTAGAAGGAAACATTGAAATAGCAGAGCTAATCGAGGCAAGTTCCCTTCATACTGAGGTACTACTAATATATATTGAGTAGGTAGAGCTGGGATTTAACCTACAATTCTGCAGCTATGGCTGATAATAATTCCAAAGTTTTAGCATTGCTGATGGCTTGAAATTGTTATTGTAATACTGAACTATCCCAGCTCAACCCTCACCCACACACTCAGTCCAAAATTTGCCAATTGTTCAAATTTTTCAAATTTGCTCAGTTGAAGCCAAAATTTGGTGGTCAAAAAGGATTCCCTGTGCAATTAAAAGGGTTATATTTTCCCAGACATTTTTGGATTTCTGGATATTTTTTATAAATTTTTATTTTTTCTGGATATCCAAATAGTTTTCTGGAAATACAAGTTCTAAATTTTTTTTTGTCATCAAATAATTAAAACATTAAAGGTATTGTGCATCAATTACTCTACGCTATATTTTACTCAGGGTGAGGCCATATTTGTATAATTTTTTTTTCTTATTATTTATTTGCATATATCTATTATTAAAGGGATTACCAAGTGCTGAGACAATTGACATGGTAATTCCATGTCAATTGTCTCACCACAACATTCTTTATTCGTTGATATTTCAGAAAACATAAGGATTTTGATCTGTAAGTATATAGATTTCCATATATAGATAACAAGGCACAGTCCCCACTATTTTGTATTTTTCATTACTTTCCAGACTAGCTAGAGCTCTAAAACTTTTGGAATTTTTGAAGTACAAACATGTTGTTAAAACTGTTTCCAGGGGCAAAGACACTAGGCTTCCCCCTAGTGTCTTGGGCTGAGCCTTGTGTTCTACTTTTTTTGTAGAAGAATCTTGCAATAGATTTTTCACTACCTTCCAGACAACCTGGAGCTCTAAAAGTTTCAGCATTTGTGTAGTCCTGATATACATGTGTTAAAATTGTGATAATCAGAGGGCTGGGGCACCAGGGACTATGCCTCACTTATTTTTTTTAAAAAAATCATATTTTTTTTGATTTTAACAAAGTTAAGATAACTTTGAAAATATTGTTTTAAATATTTTTTCAGTTTGAGTTTGTTCTGTTTTATTTAAATATTTACAAAATAAAATACAAAAAATTAAGGTGTCAAGATTGTGTTAAAATTTGCTTATATGCATCAACAGTCACAGTATTCAAGTCTAATTTTTTTTGGCTTCTCTAAAACAATCAAATCTCTCTAAATCAGTCTTTCTACAGTAAATTAGTTTATGAAAAGTATCATTTTATAGTTTTCCAAAATCAAATGAATCTGTCCTTACTGTAAACATAACTACTAGGTTGTATTTCAGGTTAAATTAATGAGGAACCAATGATAATTTTTTTTTAATTCTGATTCATTCCCAACAAGGTCGCAAGCAGTCACTTTTAAGTTGGGAGTTACTAGAAAAGAATA